CATTTAATGGCTAAAGTCGATAAAGAACTTCTTATTTAATCGCCCGTTAATGACCGAAACACAAGTACTTATTTCGTGTAACATGCCCTTGATAAAATAATGGTTTAATAACCTGATTTGTAATGGGTATTTTAGCTAACTATTTATCAGATATCTAAGTTCATTATTTTTACAATATAACTTCCTTTTTATATAATACTAGCTGGCCCGGTCCCCGTAGCCGGCCCGTAGTTTTTGTCTATTATGCATATTTGTCACTGGTCGATTAAAAGTGTTTTAAAATACATGTACCCATATTTAAGCAGTGGGCTTCAACATTAAAACCGTGGGCTTCAAATGTGTGGATGTGCTATACAAATCTATTAAAAAGTATATATCAATCTTATTCCCATGTAAGGGATCAAACTAATTTTTAGTATGGTAAAAATCGTAGCAAAATTTTCCAGTCAAATGAGCAGTAATTTGGAATTTACTGTATTTTGTACACCTCATAATTGAGGGCTGAATGATTTAAGAATAGCCAAAGTTAATTACTTTTTTAAACCCATTAGAGTCCTCATAAGTCCCCCTAACCATGTCGGTCTGTCTGTCCGCCAAAATGTGGACTTGAGGGGGTACTATAACATGGAGAAAATTGTAAAATTTGTAGATATGTTGACATTTTTGTGTAAGATTTGTACCCCCAATACATATTTTTAACCAAATCCTTTGAAATATGGTAAAATCAGGAGGTACCTTTATAAGGGCATTACTCCGAAACATCGACCTACATTGAAAACTTTCTTCTATCCCTTATAATCCAAGATGACAAAAGAGGCCAAATCAAAAATATAGCAGAACAACATAGCATGTCAAATTGAAAAAAAAATCGCGTGATTTAAATAAGTAAAAATAGTTTTATCCACCTCATAATTGAGGGCAGAATGATTTCAGAATAGTCAAATATAATTACTATTTTACACCATTACCGTAAGATGGGAATTAATTTTATTTGCCGTTTAAATTGTAAGTTGGTGACGCCATAAAGTCCATATTTTTCATCATAGTATAATTCAAAGACGATTCAACAAATATTCGGTCCCGTGCTACTTTCTTATATTTGTAACTTGTTCATGTTTTCACAATTTATATCTAAAATCTACGTTCCCAACCAAAATTCTCTTGGGGGTTACAAATTCAATAACATACAAAATGTGTTTTTCTGACCACACATTAGATGTGAAAGTGGACTTGGGGATATTCCAATGTGGGGACTTTACTTAAATAAATTTCTATGTGGCAATTATCTGTATGATGGTTCCCTACCCCAGGGCAGTATAAATAAAATTTTTTAGCCAAATCAATTGATGAATGTGGTCACGACCAATATGGGCCCTACTCTGAAAATTTAAAATGTTATGCGAAGAGGTTCTCTAACCCCATTAGAAACAAAGATGCCAAATAAGGGCCAAAAAATGAAAAAAGTGGCCAAGACCCCAAAAATATCTTAAATCATACGATGGTTATATAAATATGAAATCGGGTTGTACCCTTATCCATGAATTATGATATCGATATCATGACCTGCGAAAGCGATTTAAGGTATCTTGAATCTTTGGGAAGGATATCCTTTCATCCTTTTCTTACTAAAAGTCCCATTCGGTCTACTATTTTGCACCCTTTATATTTGGTATTTTACTGAATGTACTCCCAATGAATTTTGCTTTTTGAGCACTCATTGGACGGATTATTGTCACATGAAAGAAGTAGGTTCGCGCTTTGAAATAAGCTCCATTAGGCTTTTTCGGTCATTTTTGTTTGTTTAAATGTGTTCTCATCTTCCAGCTGAACAACGATGTAGGCCCTGGAGTTGAAAGGTAGATGTCAGTTAACATCCTATTCCGCACTTATTTCATTTTTTGGTGAAAAATTGTTTATAGTGAAAATGTATTCTTTATTTTGTTCATAAAAAATCCACTGATATCAATATGATAATACAAATTGAAAACAAAAATTGACAAAAAACCACTCTTTTCCGTGATTTTTTAGCGATTTTGAAAAATTAATTATCTTTTAAATTGGTGTGACCGCGTTAAATTATTTCGATATCATCTATTCCGTTTCGCCATCACATAATTCGGACTACACTTCCATGTAACCCGCCATCAATTTCAGTTCTCAAGAAATCAAGTTAATTAAATAAATTGGTATTAATATTCGAATTCAAAAATAAAATATAAAAAACACTACCAATATACATTAGAAAAAAAGTGAGTCAAAATGAAAAAAAAAATCATGCAAAATAAAACATAACGATTGTATATTTCAAAAGTCAAAATGAAAATGTTAATATATCACATTTTTACACGATTTTTTGGATATTATCCTTTTCGGCCAGGAGACAATTCCGAATTTGTATGAATCGTTAAAATCAGTCCAGCTGGTTTTAAGTTATAAGCGTAGTAACTAATACAACTTTCTTTTATATAAATAGATAACTTCCTTCACCAGAGATTTTCTTCAAACGAAGCCCAATTTTTTATCCACCCTCGTATTATCGTACATAATATATTAACACTTCGATGTTTTTCACCTTTTCATTAAAAAGTTAACACAAATCACACAAATTGTTTGAAAACTGAAAGTGTGCCATTTGTTCAAATGTCTGGGAGGAAATTTTATAGTTTCGCCGTGCTTTGTGGGATTTTCGCATCAGTGATGCAAATCTTAACAAATGAGTCACACCCGGCATTCAATTGGCCGAGGCAAATAAAGGTTTGATGTGAAAGACTGTTTCTTTACAGCGTTTGTTATTATATTGGAATCAAAAAAGTAGAATGAAAGTGGGATCACTACTTAGGCAAAGTATCGTTATTGGATAATAAAGTTAAGTTGTGAAATTTTGTGCAATTTTGCCCCACCATATTATGGTGTGCAAGTCCTCGAAAAAAGACCCCAAAAAGTACATATGTTTTTGATCAACATACGATTCTATGTCGATTTAGCTCTTTCCGTTTGTCTGTGGAATACTGTCTTCCGAACGAAACTATGTATATTAATAAGATTGTGTTGAAATTAATTTTAGGTCCGTAGAATTTTTTGAAAAGGGGTACAGTTTCATATCAAATTTGTTATATGGATTCCGTTATGGAAATTACCTCCAATGGCAAAAAATTATTTAATAATTATAGTGAAAATCCAGCAGATTATGAAAGTGGAGCTAAACCATAAGACATGCGTATCGGCATTTTGAAATCTTATATCGATAAGTAATCAAAATAGGGGTGGGGGAAAGTAGGTATATATAGTGTCTTCGGCAATATTACAATAAAAATTGGGGAAATATATTAGTCGAAAAGGTTAACTCTCAAGTGAGTCAACGAAGGGGTCTTTTTTGTCCTTTTTTAAAGTCAAAATTATTTGTCATAAAATTCTACTATAGATCCTAGAAGAGTCTAAATCTTATCTAATCGCCAGGAATTCATATATTAAAAAAACACGTTTTAGGTTTAAAGTCGTGCTTTCCGTGAATTTGTGCAAAAATATCCAAAAAACATAATTTTAGCAGGATGATGTCATAGACAAAACTATTATTTATCAAATTTTCGTAAATGCCACTGAAGAAATCTCTATTTCCACTGTATATCATTTTTTTGTATTAGTAACTAAACGATTGCAAATATATATTAGCGATAATAAGTGTATGCGTGTGTTCTCAGATGTTCACTTCATACCCATCTTAATGTTGTTGTCTATTTTATAAAGACAAGACATTTCGAAATAGTTTTACGATTTGTTTTTATATTGTTGTTGTTTTCGTTGGTGTTCGACATGAGATAATTTGCATGTATTGCATTTGTGTTGTTGAATTTTGTTCTGAAAGAAATTTGTTACAAGGATTTTTCGACACTGAACAGTTAATTGTTTTCTGAAATGCGAACAAATTTCATTCTTACAAGTAGTAGTTCTAGTCAAGACCATTATTAAAAAATTTATTTTGTTTTTGTTCTTGATTTGAAAAACAGAAAATAAACTAAAAATATCATAATATGATTATATTAAAATTCGATTACACCACATCCATTATATATTCATGATTATGAATTCACGTTTGGTTATTTCTGGATTGTGAGTTAAGAACGTCAAAGCTTATATTATGCAGATTTATAAGGCCACGTTTGGCTATTTCGGGATATACACCTAGTCCTTGACTTTAATTTCGACTATGTCTCTGGTGGTAGAAATTGACAACGACTCCGAAGCCCTGAGTGTTGCATGTTCTCACTTTTTCGCTCTTGATTCATTCAAACAATTGATCGATTCGAACAATTAAAAGGCATGCCATTGAAAATAGATGGTGTATGAGTAGTATTATTAATCATACGACAACGTGTCCACTTCCCTGCTCATATTTACACTCACCTTCATCTTTTGGAGAGAATGTACGAAGTATGATTTGGTCCAGAATAGAATTGTGTCAATTTAGTTCATAGTTCAGTACACCAGCTCCTGAACGTATGAGTGATTTCAAAAAATTCAAATCACTCATACGCAGAGTTTTCATAGATACCATCGGAGTCCACGGAGCTAGGTATAGGCTTGTTCGTTCGATCGAAATAGATTGAAACAACTCTAGTCCAGGAGTTTGTAAAACCTCAAAATATGTGTTGTTGAGCCACCATGCAACATCCCGATCATAATGTATAGCGTCGGTCGATCGGGTTTGCCAGTTCTTCCGTTTATCCATGATCATTACTAATCACTCTACATTTCAATTATGGTCCTATCCTTGCTAGAGTCATTATATTTTTTTATATGAAATAAAGTAAAAACAGAATCTAGTTTTCTAGTCATACATTTATGGGATGTTCGAATTTTGCAAAATCTTTGACATTAGTTTAGAGAATAACCCAGCAATAGCCCATTGCCAAATTATTATCTGAAAGGGTTTCATAAAATTTGCTCATAATATAATAATGCTGACTGATTATTTATCATTCCTTCCTTCGTTTCTTTTTCAGATCCTTTCAATAGCTCTGATCGTGCTTGGAGCCTTTATCCTTATCAAATTCGAAAGATTCGATACCGTGGGTTACACCCTGGTCGGCGTGGGATCTCTCGTTTTCTTGTTTACCATTGTGGGCATTGTTGGAGCAGCACGCGAACGGAGCACTCTTCTGAAAATTGTAAGTATGGCATGAAAATGTTTGAAAAAATAACATCGCGATAACAATTAAACAATAAAATATTAATTTAATTGACGTAATTTGCCCCGATTGGGACAACTTCCTTATTGTCGTTTAGTTTGCTTTGATTGTCGTTATTTTGGCCATAACGCATGTAATCATCCTCGGCTTCTTTTGGATATTCCAAACGTCGTTTTTGATTAACGCAGACAAGGCATTCGATGAAATTTGGCGTGACCAGCCAACACCGATTAAACCTGAAAATGGCAGTCATATTGCCAATATTGAACGTTGGGTAAGTTTAGAGTGGCAAATTGTTTTTGGAGGGTGGTGGATGTCTTTGATCGCTACCGCTTTTCAAAAATCAATAACAAATTATTACCATGTTTTATCGACAATTTATTGTATTCCGTCCCTAGTTGAGCTGTTGTGGAAACAGTGGTTCCGTGGACTATCATCTGCCACCCCACAGTTGTTATGATTCGAAAACTGACAAACTGAACACGGATGGTTGTCGTCAGAAATTTGTGGATTTCATTACGGAAAGTTGGACATATTTGAATATTTTCGTTCTTGTTTACGTTGTCATTGAGGTAAGTGTTTTGCGAGTGTGCGAGCGTGTGTGTGTGTGTGTATGTAGTTGGCTATTTGTGGGCACGTTTGCGATTGAAATGAAAAACACCAAAAGCCATAGTGTTTGTAGCATAAAATTGAATCATCAAACATCTCGGCTAATTTTGGCTCTTCCGCCCTTGGTGATGTTTTATTTTTGCGGGTGGTCATGACGACATTATAAATATCGACAGTGTTTAAAAATGAAGAAATTAATATTTATGGCACTTCTTTACAATTTTGGATATACATAAATGTCGTGTTCGGTGTACTGGGACTCTGATAGCCATATTAAAAATTATATAGTTCCCATCTGAAATAAGTTCAAAACTAGCAAAAATATCAAGATTGAAAATGAAACCAAAAAAAAAAAAAAAATTAAAAAATAAATAAATAAAATAAGGGGAAAAATGCGAAAATTAGTTTGTTATTCCTTGGGCGCCGAATTATGTAGCGACCACAAACTATTTAAATTACAAGTGCATATTTAATGCAAACAAAGGAAGACACCACTAGAACCTAAAACGAGGCAGGACAACAGGACTAGTGACTTCTTCTGTACTGGCTCGTCTCAAGCAAAAATTACACGGACATTTTGTTTGGAACAGACATATTTATCCGATATATAGATATATAAAAGAGTTGAGTGAATGACGGACTGATTCATCAACGCCCAGGTGAAACGAAACTTTTCATGTAGGTCAATGTTTTTGTATAGGGATGAAGTAAGACTGCGGTTTTGGAAATCAGAACTAAGAGTACTAAAACGTACTGAAAATTAAATCCATTGCATTAGGTAAACAGAGAGAGCTAGAAATTTGGAATAAAGGTCACCGATGGAATGTACCAACCCAAAGGTTATTTGGATATTCGGATTATAAGTGCACAAAACATACTACAAAGCTATAAAATTGGTACCATTTGGTATTTTGTGGAAAAATCTTGACATTTGTAATAAGAAATTGTAATAAGGATATAGTTTTGTAAATTTGAAAGAGCTGTACAAAACGGTACAGAGGGTTAAAATAAAGAGGTGGTTTTGGAAATTCGTACTACAAGTATATGAAAAGTACTAAACGGTTTCAAATTTGATATTGGGTGAACGAATAGTGCTTGGGTTTTGAAATTTGGTGAGAAAACAGGGTGAGATGAAAAAACTGCAACAAACATCAGACTACTGTCATTTCTAAGCCACTCGTCCGACAGCTGTTAAAATTATTCCAGTTACAGTTCAATAAATTGTTAACAAACTTACAAAAGCATTTTCGTGAGAATTTTCCGGACAAAAAGTCATTCGTGATGCAATTCAAGCGTGATAGTGTGATTTCTTTATATTTGGCTGGAAAACACTGGACTCAGTTCGCGCCACGCAAGAATGGTCACAAAATGAGTTTCCTCTCTCCATTTCCAGCGCACAATGACCACCAAAATCTCCGGATACCAATCCGTTGGACTATTGTGTCTGAGTATTTAGGAAAGCAAGGTTGGCACTAAATAATACCAAAGTGTCCATTACCACAAGCAAGCGCTTCGCCGGGAATGGGCCAAAATACCGCAGAGCAACATTCGAGGTGACCAATTCGAACAAATCTAAACTTATTCTAAAATTTAATGATATTTCCGACATTTTTTTCTTTCATTCAATAAAATTTAAAAAACATGTAAAAATTATGGCGTTTGGCTTTTTGCAATTTTTTTATCTCATCCTGTATAGCGTATGAAAGGTACTAAATGGTACAAAATTTGGTGTATATGGTGTAGGAATAGAATTGGAATTATGAATTTCGGTATGAGGATCATTGTAAGTAAGTAGGAAGGATGTGTTTTTGGAAATTCGTGCTACATAGTGAACGAAAAGCAATAAATGGTACAAATTTGGTATACAGTGCAGAAAAGGACCTTAGGTTGTGAATATTGATATAGAGAGCACTGTAAGTGTATAGCATTTGGATAAGGAGGTGGTGGTGTTGAAAATTATTGAGTGAGAAAAGCATTAATTTTGGTGTATAGTGTAGGAATAGGACTAGAATTTTGAATATGGAATTTATGAATTTTTAGAGAGGATTTGGACATCCCTACTACAGAAAGTACTAAACGGTACTAAATTTGGTATGGAGTATGAGAGATGAGCTGGAAATGAGCAAGCTATAACAAGGATCACTGTGAATATTAATTGTTATGTTAAGGACATCTGCATCAAAATACGTAGTACGGAGTGGAGGAATAAAAGATTTGGAATAAACGCCACTGTGGATATATAGGATAGGTTATGTTTTGAGATCTAGAAATTTTCGCTAATGAGGTAGCGGACAAAACATAACTTAAGATTGTATTTATTAACAATGTTTCCAGTAAACCACTGTAGATTCTATTTTGTTTTCCAATTAATTATTTTTCTATTTTCTTCTGTTTCAGCTAATCTGCGCCATTTTTGCATTCGTTTTGGCCAACAGCATTGTGAATCGTTGGCGTCGTTCGAAATACTACTCCAAGTAGATTGTGGAAAAGTGCGAAGTGAATCAACATCATCGTCATCATCGTCGCCCCCCGAAGCTGGCACGTCGATCGTCATTATGATCATCTGTTGGCAATGGACGTCTGTTCGAAGCTAATAATGATGACAAAATATTAACGGGATGTGTTTTTGTTCGCGATTTCCACCAATTGCTGTTAGTATTTTCGGGAAAATAGCAAGAAATTAAAAAATAAAAACAAATCAAATATTTTTAATATTGTCTCAACAAAAACCAAAGATAAACAGTTTCAGTTTCACTTTTCATCGATGCTGCTGTCAATGTCGCCACTGCTGAAACAGATTTCGTTAGGAATATCGTTGGACCTGCAGAGACGGAGTGAACGATATTGCCACGCTAGTCTGTCTACCTCATTATCATCATTATCGCCATCATAATTATTATCATCCTCAATGCTAATTAGTTGCTTATGATTACCATTGTCGTCTGACATTGTTTAAAAAAAGTTCCCAAAAAATAAAAACAAATAATGCAAACAAGTATCGGATAACAATTTTCTAGACACCGTTTGCAACAATAAATATTTTATTTTTTGTTTTTACCATTAATTGTTCAGAATTTAAATTTAAGAATTTTATTTTGCATTGTAATATTTAAATAAGTTAAAAATGTTATCTACAGTAAGTTCTTATTAGTTAAAATAATACTTCCATATATATTTTTAATAATTATACTATCGAGAAAATATTAATGTTAACATAAACGAAATAAATAGGCATTTAAACTCTCTTTGGAACTCAAATAACATAATAAATAAAAAAACTAAGCGAAATTGTTACTAAGAAATTGTTTTGATAGTTTAAGTATGTTTTAAACTAATACAAACAGAATAATAAAATAAATCAACGATTTTTAAAGAAAATTAGTTAAATTTTGATTTTCAATATGTACAGATATATTATCGATTTTTGTAGTATTTTGGCTTAAGATCAAATACAAAATCAGCATTTTACTATTTCTCTTATTCCTTTATTCAATGTTCAACCAGAATGCAATGTTGACAAATTAAAGGGATACTCTCATAAGCTAATCCAATTCGGTCTTGGAGACCGAAGAGTGGCGTATTTATGCTAAAACATTTACATATAAATATAGTTTGACGTATGGAATAACTCTATATTGTTATACCCTACAACACTATGTGTTGGGGGTATTATAAGTTTGATTGGGCCAAAAATTATGTAACACCTCGAAACATTGGTTTCCCACATAGGAAAGTATATATGGAACTTCCTATCTCGCCGAGCTGAGTCGATCTAGCTTTGTATGTACATGTTTAATTGTAATCTCGCTACAAGTCGCAATTATGGCCCGATCCTTATGTAATTGTAAATGGTGTTGGGGTTATGGTCAGAATAGAAGCCTATTGCTTTTGGAGATAATCGCAGAAATTTAAAAATGTTCTGATTTTACAGTTGCTCTGCAGGTCGCAGTTATACACCAATCGACGCCGGAGTTAGCATGGGGCTAGAGCTTAGGGCTGCGCAGAAGCCTTTCAATTTGGATGATCATCGGGTAATGTTTAGTGGTTTAAATAGTCCATAACATTTGTGTTAAATAAAAGTCAAATTTTTCAAAAAAAAAAAAAAAAAAAAACAGCGAATATTTTTAATCCTGGCGAAATCACAAATAGACGAACAGGCAAATTCTGACCGTCACGTAGATGCCGATAGTAAATATATGGGATTTATATATAGCGAAATATATACAATGTATACATACAAAGGAAGGGGGTGTTACCTAGAATGCTTATATCTCAAGAATGGTTGGACCGATTTTGACAAACTTCGTCAATTCAGAATGCCCTCTTGGCATAAAAGTATAAAATCTAAAACCTATAAAAAGATGCTAATAATGTTGCTAATATAGATTTTGTTGTATTTTGTGACAATTTTTTATTTTTTCATATTTTTATCGCACTCGATTTTTTCATTTGAATATTGAAGTGTATATTTTGTAATTTTTAATTTTCACCTTACAACACAGGTTGCGGTTGTTATATACAGATTGCAGGTATCGTCCGATCCTCACGAAAATTTTCACAAGGGTAGGGTTAGGCTCAGAAGGGCTAGACCCATTGTGTTCAAAGATGTTTAGGACAGCGGGTACAATGGACAAGTACTTCTGTGCGAAAATATATCAACATTTAGATATAGCTCCCATATATATCTTCCTCCAATTTGCCATTTATTGTGCACCAAACGTGTAATATCAGTCCGAATAGTATGGAATTTAGTACGTACGATCATATTGGACCTGAAAATAAGTACGCCAAATTTGATCGAAATCGGTTCAGATATTGTTATAGCTCCCATATATATTTTTCATTTTTGTCCTCCGCAGCCGTAATATGCACTCTGTAACAACAATATTTGGGGAAATATATCAAATACAGCTCAAAAAAACATTTGCTAAATTTTATCGAGATCGGTTCAGATTTGGATATAGCTTTGGATATATAACTTGTCCGATTTACCTTTGATTGAGCACCAAACGTCTTATATTTTGAAATTTGGCACTTACGACCGAATTGAGTCTAGAAGCTAGTATGTCAAATTTGTTGAAGATCGGTTCAGATATAGCTATAGCTCCCATATATACTGTTCGTCATATTTAGATCTTTGAACTTTAAATTATATTCATAATCGTAGCGTGTATGATTGAATTCTCCCACAAAAACTTTTAACTGTTATGCGGAGCTCTACTAAATAAGCAAAGTGGTGTAGGGTATCATAAAGTCGGCCTTGCCCGACTTTAAGACTTTTGTACAAAATACTTTGTACATACTTTTGAGTGCGGTTGAGGCGCTGGGAAAATCTAGCAATAAACAATAAATATTCTAAAATTACATTTTTCCCAGCCGCCATAAAACACCACAGTGAACAATTCGGTGATCTTGTGCGCTGACGCATACGATAATGTGTGAGATAATAAAGGTTCTGACCCACACGCACAGATATCGATGCGCTCAGTAGATGCACAAGACCACTTGAATGAGATGTCAAGCAGCCCTGCAATGTTCTCCATTCAGTATTAGAATAGATAAGAACAATTGTGTGGCTGCGACTAGGTTAAGTTAGATTAGTTTCAGTAGTACGTAAGAAACATATTCCTTAAATAAAATTAGAATTGAATCTACAGCCAAACCATTCGGTTGGTTTTCTCTTCTCAATCAACTTTCTTTACTGGTTTATTCTGATTTCGTTGGCGAATAGAGCCAAATATCGTAGATAAGCAAATCATATAGATGAGTCTAAAAGTGGAAATACACGGGGCCCTTTGTTTTGGAGATGATCTCAAAATATTTAGGGGTTCAAATGAACCAAAAACAGAAAAAATTCCTGATTACACAATTGAAGCAGTCGACACGTCTGAGAAGAAAGTTAAGAACAGGGAAGAATTCTTGCATTTTGGATGACCATTGGATTATATTTAGCTGTAATATGGACCACAACAACTAACAGCACGACGGAGTGCGTAAATATTGGACAAATGTCCCTGTTCAATATGCTAAGTGTAATATCAATATGCTAAGTGTAATATCTGGGCAGTGATCCGTGACATAATATCAAAAGAGAAATCTTCCAAAATGGATTTGGACATAAGGGGGCTTCTAACATATTGTAGTGTTGTAGGGTATCACATGGTCGGCCCCGCATGACCGTAGCCTTTGCTTACTTGTTTCAAAATGAAAATGTAAATATAAAAGTAAAGCATATGTTTAGGCGACTGTTAGGTTAAATAAATAAAAAACACTCATACATTTTTCGAAAAGCTGGTCAGTTTTAATTATTCTAATGTATTGTAATTAGTTTAAATAATTCCATTTTAATTTAATTAATATTTGTATTTCAAATGGCGTGACATTAATATCAAATAAAAGTTTAATTCAATGGCGAAGTATTGGATAAATTTAATAAATAAAAAAACACTGACCTTGCGATCGAAAAATATGTGTTTTTATATGATTTTTATAACTCTTGGAGGGAGTATTCGATTTGGCCCAAACTTGGTACATCTTTATATTATTTTCAAACTTACATCGAGTTTGGAGTTGAAATATATCGGTACACGCCTTCTGTGACCACTCCCACAAAAGGTTAAAATTTTGTAAAAAAATATTTTACTTCAGAAAGGATTGATGATCTGATTATGCAAATCCTAATATATCAGTATCAGTTCTAGATCAGGTGCAAAAATATCTGCTCACTCAATCAAGTATCTCCCCCACAACGCGTCAACATTTTGAATAAATATAACTCTCATAAAATGCGAAATAAGCTTCCGATAATCTTCAAATTTCACACATTCCAATATTTTTACTAACACAATATATGGTATAAAGATTGTCCTCTTCTTTTGGCACCTCCCCCACGAAGGAGTCACAATTTTGAATAACGAAACGCAGATCAGTCTCTCTTAAAACTTCACACATCCGAATATTTTTTTACTAACGCACGATCTGGGGTCAAGATGATAGACACCTTCTGAAGTGGGTGACGAATTGGATTACTTCTACCATACCTAGTATCTAACGCACATTTCAATATTTTCCAAAAATTATCACATTTCTCTTGTAAAGTGAAAGAAATAGTCGAAATCTGACACGTAATAACATTTATATCCGAAATGGACAATATGAAATGGACAATATTGTGCCATTTCTTCTGAACCACTCCCATGAAGAATAACATATAACGCAAGTCAAAATATATTTGAATAAACGACCATTGGCTGAGGGTGTACAGCTGTCGAGAATATATAACTTATAACTTGTTTTTTATATGTTTTTATTGAATTGATGGAACAAAAAGCAACATTATATAATATAAAAATAACTTAATTTCATTGCTGCATGATATTTAGTAATACCATTAAACAATTATAATTTGGTTATAGTTATTTTTCTCCATTTGTTGGAGCGAGTTTATCTATGTACTTCATTTTTCCATTTGAACTGTATAAACATTTAGCTTTTTTGTTGCACTCTTTTGTATTTAAACAAGTGAAACATAAAAATATCAAATTTTAGAAAATTCAGTTAAAAAATGGGGCTAAAATGATCAAACTATAACTATACACTAATATAGATCTATTATATGGGGCTATACGGAAATGTTGGCCTTTATGGATAATTTATACATATTTTAAATAAATAACAAATTTAAAAAAAGTTCAGTTGAAAAATGTGAAAGAAAATCCAAATACTGAACTCGGGATGCAGAGTTACATAGTTACAGTTTTTTGACCATTTTAAATACCAAATACAAGTTTAAAATAATTTTGTCGAATAATGTGATTAATATTATCAAAATACCAAATATCGGGAGGAACTTACAAAACAGCATTATCACTGGATATGTTACAGGAAGTAGGCACTGCCACCAGGAACCAATAAATGAGTTATCAAATTAGTCGTTCCTTGCAAGTTGCATTGATTTATAATTCTAACTAACGTCATACTTATACCCTTCAACACTATGTTTAATTGGGTCTAACATTTATTATATTTAACTTCATTTTACACTGTGCAAGTCGGTCGGGTTAGCGCCCGAATTGAAGCGTATTGGTTTTGGAGATGCTTGTCAAATGTTAAGAAATTGAAATGGAACAAACACAGTTTGTTGTGAGAAATACCAATATTTAAATTTGACCGAGAATATTTTATAAACGCGAAAGTTGCTTCCTGGCGAAATCACAAAAATGTGAAAAGGGCACTTCTAACCTTTACATTGATGATGATTTCGATGACGTATATAGTCAGCTACAGCAAGGGTTTCACATGGTTGGGCCCATCCCACCATGGAATGTTGTTCGCTTTGTTGTCTGATGATGGGGTTGAACTGGCGATTTTCGGATGTTAGTAGGTCACGACTTTGAATTTTGTTTGTACCACCTATAAATATTCGTCATAGACCCTATAAAGTGTATATATTTATGATCAGCGTACAAATCGAATCGAACGATGTCCGTCCTTCTGTCTGTATGATGAAATTAGGATACATCCCATTATATGACGTAGAGTTTTTGAATTTTCGCACCATAGTTTGCATTATGCCTGCGATGGTTTGTATTGAAGGTATATCGGTCCACCTTTTCGACCACGTAACGGTACTTCTCAATATTCGGCATTTAATTGATTCAAGTCACCTTTTCTAAAATATTGTCTATATAGGTCCACGTTTTCGGTGCTTCCCGATATTCTGTATTTTGAGGATTTTAGCCACATTTTCTATGAAATTGTTTCAAATTTGGTGTTTGTAATGGGTTTAACACCCTGTGGAAAAACATTGCATATAAAGGTTAACGTTCTTCTACTATAGCCCCATATTACGGTATATCCGGATATTCAGTATTTTGAAGATTTTGCCCACATTCTCTAACGGATTTGTATAAAATTTAGTATTTGCAGGTCTAAATGGGTTATACCTTCGGTATCAGAACTTTATCCATATTGGTCCAGGGTTTCTATATAAAGTAACGACCAATATTCGGGTTTTTGATGATTCTAGTCATATTTTTCCAAGACTCGCTATAGATTGCATCTTTGTATTATAAAATTATCTATATTTCTCTCACACCGCGAACACAAACTGCCAATATACAGCAAATTCGGTTCAAAACTATAACTAAAACACCTTAAATCTGATGGAATCGTTGTGTGGGGAGAAATGCAAATTTTACCAAACACATATTATCATTCAGATGTTAAAGTGATGTCTACAGACGAACGGATATGGATAAATCGACATATAATTTTATGTTGCTCAAGATTACTATCTTATTTCGAGGAGTTACAAACGGAATGACAAGTTTCATTTTCCCTCCACAGTATGGTTGAGGTTAGAAAATAAACTACAAAAATTCTTAAAACTAAGCGAATAGTTCAATTAATTATTGATTTGCACAAACAGTTGTAAACAAATTCCAAAAAAGTCAATGGTAATTGGCTCGATTGCATCGAAGTAACATTGAAAACATTCTGAACCACAACCCACTCGTTTCGATACCTCACGACTTGTATCAGGTGTCTGCCTGATGCTTCAACATTTTATTTATTCTTTTCCATTGAAATCTGCCGCCATTGAATCGCTGTTCGAGTGAGTGCCTAAGGAATGTTATGGTTTAGGTGGTGGATAGATGATGTGGTCGTTCATATGCGTACATACATATATGTGTGTATTACTAATCTGACCCACAGTTTCCATATTAATTTTCCGCTTCATTTGGCCCTACAACAAAAATCGATTAAAACAATGTTCGTGGATATGACAACGTTTCCTCAGTGATTTTTATGGCCCTAATGAGTGTCATAAAACCATAACGTCCAGTGAATGAATTTTCGTCATTGTTTTTCTAATTTCTATCGAACATCAAACATGTCTTCGGATTGTGAAGGAGAAACAAACAAAAACACGAATGTTTCACTTTTAGTCAAAACAATTTCAGAAATGTTATGGATTTTGGGTGTATGGTTTTGCATTTTATTTTGGGAAAAGAACACTGGGATGGGATATTTATTTGTAAGAAATTTCAATTTTACTTATTAAAGAGTCATTAACATATTTAAACACTTCAAACCATTTTGAGTATCTAAGTGGAATTAATATGAATATGAATTAAGTAATACGAACATGTCTTCATGTCATTTTAACGGCTGTTTAGCCTATCTAAGAGTGAAAGGGCGAAGAGTATTTTTTCATGACAGTCTAAATTTGCAAAACAATTGTTTGTCTTTAGCCAGGTCCTAAGACATTTTAGGTATTACATTTCCTGAGTTTTTAGTACGGAAATAGTTAACTGAAAAAGTACTTAACATTGGTCTAATTGTGATGTCCCTAAAATGGTCAGTTTAAAATAAGAACTTCCGAAGGTGGAATAATGTCAAAAAGTCTTCATTATCTTTCATTTTGATGTTTTCCGTACCATTTAGTACTTTTCGAACAATTATGGTATGCATTTTCACAACAGTCTCCATATCACAACACCAGATACCAATAGAGATCTCGTTATCAAATTTGAGAGTTCCAGCTTTTCAGGGTGATATACAAAAACTGCAAAAAAGTCAAATACCATAATTTTTAGATTATTTTTAAATTTTATTGAATGAAAGCAAAAAATGTCGGAAATAGCAGCAAATTTTAGAATAAATTTAGATTTGTTCGAATTGGTCACCTTTGGTAGGAATTATGGCCCTTTTCCGGTGAAGCGCTTGCATGAGGTGATCGATACTTCGGTATTTTAGTGCCAACCTTGTTTTCCAAAATACTCGAGACACAGTAGGCCAACGGATTGGTATCCGGAAATTTTGTGCGCTGGAAATGAAGCGAGGAATCTCATTTTGTAACCATTCTTCCTGTTGGAATGTCCGAGTTCTGCGGCCAAAATGTTTGCGTGCCCAAGGCTTTAATACACCCTCCAGAATATTCACTATTTATTCTGATGCCATGGTCGATTAATACGAGCGGAGAGCGACCATCGGCTGTTATGGCGGCCCACACCATCACCATTGCCGACGCTTGAGTTCTGTTCGTTACTTTTCGAACCATTTCTGCTGATGTTGCTGTTTTCTTCCGTCCATTTCCTTGATGTTAGGCTACGCTACCAGTATCAGGGTAACGAGCGATGGTACGGAACACAAAAGATTTATTCACATTTAAATGCTGGAGTACTCTAACTATAGCCACTTATAAAGAAATCACACTATCACGTTTGAATTCCATCACAAATATTTTTTTTTTTGTGGAAAATTCTCACCAAAATGCTTTTGTACGTTTATAATGAGCTCACACGGGAATAATTTGAACAGCTGTCGGACGAGTGGCTTGGAAATGACAGCAGTCTGAATTTTGTTGCAGTTTTTTTCATCTCACCAGGTATATATCACATTTTAGGATACCAAATTTAATACTCTTCAGTACTTTTCGTACAATTATAATACACATTTCCAAAACCCCCCAAATGTCAATTCCAGATTCCAACAGAGTTCTCAATATATAATTTTAGGACCCTATCCCTTCACCCACTATCAATTTTAGAATCATTTAGTACTTTTCGTACAAATATAAGACGCCTTTCCAAAAACATGGATGCCATCAGTAATCTACATATAAAATCTCAGAATTTTATCTCTATCCCTTCACCCAATACTAAAAATAGTACCATTCAGTACTTTTTGTTCAATTATAGTACACATTTCAGAAAACCACTCCATGTGTCCAGCCTACATATGAACAACGACCCTAATACCAAGTTTTAAAACTCAAGCACTATCTGGTCATCCAGTACCATTTTGTAATAAATATAATATTTTTCGTATATTTGTAGTACCAAAACAACATCTTTCTCACCTACCACCAACATGGACCCCAATACAAAATGTCAGCTTCATCCCTTCAACCTAAGCCAAACTGTTCCATATGTAGTACTATTTACTACAGTTCGCACACTTAGTACACATTTACGAAGCCACCGTCATTTATCAAAATTACTTTTCAACCTTGATTCTCATACCGAATTTCAAGCTTTTAACTATCCATTCGCATAATACCAAATTGTACCGTTTTAGATGTTTAGTACCATTTTAGAACTTTTCGTAACCTTAAAGTTCGAATTTCCAAAAACACTTCTAGCGCCCCATCAGTGACTCTCCTACCAAATTCCCTTTGTCCAATACAAAATATTCTATTTTTAGTAAAATTTAAATTTATAAGAACAACTCCCACCAACCGCTTTGCCTGGGAGTTGTTCTTATATAAATACATATCATTATAGCAATATCTATCTGCTAAATATTTTACTAGGTAATATGTTAAGGAGTTCATAATAAACTTCTCAAAATCGGTAAAAGCGAAATCGTTCATATCAAACAAAAAAAAAAAAATTAATAATAATAATAATAATAAAATAAAATAAATAAATAATTTCATTAACCTTGGGAATAAAACAGTAATAAATAAAATGGTGCCATGAATCGGAGTGGTGTAATCTGAAAAGGTTGAATGCATCATTTTTTGGAATGAGCTATTATAGTAATAATTACAATTATAGAAATAATTTAATTTTAGAGGGAGATCATAGAAACCGTTTCAAATTGTTCACTTGTTAAGTTTTTGTCAGGAAACCCTGAATTCTTTTTACTTTCTTAACCACTGTGCAATAATATGTGTGTAAGCAAAAACATGCGACAATGTTGAAGGCAAAAGAGTAAACATGACATCAAAACAAACTTCTTAGGTCTCTCATTTGCGGTCGCACTGTTAGCTTTTTCAGTCATTAAGAAATGAAATAATTTCGTTTTCATTCGCCGAGAGAGGAATTCTCTCAGCCGGTTGTTTAAACATTTGTTGTTTTTTTTTAATATTTTTGCTTTGCTCTGAAGAGGGAAACAGACAGCATTTGTCACACGTTGGCGTTTAGTTCGAACAACGCGCGAATCTTCAACGGATGCTTTTGTGCTGGCGGATCGTCGGTGCCATTTCGTCGATACGAAATACGAATTTGTCGAGTGCGAAGCAAATCTAATTGAATGCAAATACCATTTCTACGATTTTGCATAAATTCCGAATAAACAAAAAAATAAATAATTCTAGTTTAAGTTCAAGTCCGGTCATCAAAATGTACATCTCTAAACGTACCTATAAAATAATTGTGATTATTTTGAATGTGATTTGTGCGGTAAGTCGTTGCGCCAAGGCTCTTTTTTTGGGTGGTTTGACAACCTTGTAAACGATGGTGATGATGACGATGATGCAATTTTATGACATTAAATGTCTTGTAACCGACCACGGCCGACAATGCCTAGACCCGGAATAATTAGTCATTCAACGTCGACATCATACCTATTTTAAAAATCAACGAAACAAAACAAATTTTCGGTAATGTTTTAAAAGACACGACCACTCATTAAATACCGGTTCTAATGCAAAATGTTGTGTTTGAAAAATTGAATTGGTCAGTCATCTGAAGTGGCTCAAAGCTATTTGTATACCCTCCACCTTGGAAAGGAGGGTATATTAACTTTGTCATTCCGTTTGTAACATCCTTAAATATTCGTCGTAGACCCCATAAAGTATATATATTCATAATCAGCATAAAATTCTAAGTCGATTTAACGATGTCCGTCTGTCTGTCTGTCTGTCCGTCTGTCTGTCCGTCTGTCTGTCTGTTGAAATCACGATACAGCCCACATTATTTGACGTAGAGCGCCAAAATTTAGCAGAGCAATTGGTATTGTGTCTAGGATGGTTGGTATTGAAAATAAGATATATCAGTCCACGTTCTGGTATAGTCCCCATATAACGGTACCTCCCGATATTCGGTATTTTGATGATTTATGCCACATTATTTAACGGATTTGTCTGAAAATTGGTATTTGTAGGTCATAACGGGTCCCTGTATGTGTGGCAAAACATAGCATGTATAGGTTCACGTTTTGGTATAGCCCCCATATAATGGTACATCCCGATATTCGATATTTTGATTATTTTTGCCACAGTTTTTAACGGATTTGTCTAAAAATTGGTATTTGTAGGTCATAATGAGTTCCAGCTCCGGTGGCGAAACATTGCATGTATGGGTCCATGATTTGGTATAGCCCCCATATAACGGTACCTCCCGATATTCGGTATTTTGATGGTTTTTGCAACATTTTTTCACTGATTTGTGTAAAAATTGGTATTTGTGAGTCATAATGGGTCCTAGTTCGTGTGGCGAAACATTGTATGTATAGGTCCACGTTTTGGTATAGTCCCCATATAACGGTAGCTCCCAATATTCGGTATTTTGATGATTTTTGACTGATTTTTTCACGAATTTCACTGAAAATTTGGTAGTTGTAGATCATAATGGGTCCCAGTTCGTGTGGCGAGTCATTGTAATTATAGGTCCACGTTTTGGTATAGCCCCCATATAACGGTACCTCCCGATATTCGGTAATTTGATGATTTTTGCCCCCTTTTTCACGTATTTGTCTGAAAATTGGTATTTGTAGGTCATAATGGGTTCTAGCTCCGTTGGCGGAACCTTGCATGTGTAGGTCCACGATTTGGTAGAGCCCACATATAACGGTACCTCCCGATATTCGGCATTTTAATGGTTTTTGCCACATTTCTTCTAATGTTTCCTTTACCCTAAGGTGGAGGGTATTAAAAGTTTGGCCCGGCCGAACTTAATGTTTTTTTACTTGTTTTCTTTGGAAGTTGATAGGGAAAAATATTCTTGAATCAATGCAAAAGTTGCGGAAGTTTCTCTATTTTTATCAAGATTTGTTTTGTTTTCCTTTATTTTATTAATGAATCATTATTGGCTAATGCTGTGTATACATGTACATACATATGTGTGTTTAATCATACATGTTTGTATGTTAACAAACTGACCGCGCTGTGTTCGTTGTGCTCTATAAAATTTTTAAAACTACACTGTCATACATTCAAATGAAATGAAATGGACATTTTTGACATTGACAAATTGAAATTTGATGATTTTACCATTTCTCCTGCAGATGGAAATGTTTTCCAAAGGCAGAGTCAAGCAAATATTGTTATTATTTATTCAGTGAGATTAACTATCTCCGGAAGATGGAGAAATATGGGGGAGATCCCGTGAAAAGCGAAGTTGAATAAGAGAAAGGGTGCATTGCCCAGCTCATAAGCAAAAGCAGTTATCTGATGGAAAATTATTTAAGTTTAAGATTAATGGGGAACGAGACTGGGTTGTAGCGGAGGACGATTTCAAGGAGTCTCTGCATTACATTTTCACTTTTTTTTAAGCCGTGAAGACGTTAAGTTCTAATAAGAAGCAGAACACTAGTAAGTCCTAAAGAAAGACAAAAAGTGACAACTCGATCTCGAACATGAAAAACAATGGTGGCCGTGAAAAAAATATGCTGAGTGGTGATTGAAACCAGTATTGGTTCTGGCAAACTACAAAACTAAACCTAAACTAAACCCCCTTTGAAGAAAAAGATGTATCATACACTTAAAATGCATTATGCTGTGGATAAACTTCGTTTCGCAGGAAGCTTAGAAAGTACGATTAAATTTCGAAGCCTTTGGTCTTCGAAACAAGGTCTTAGTCTTGGTCATCAAACGGGAAGTGACACAAAGCCTTTGGCAGGGATGAGATCCTCTTTTTATATCCTCTGAATCATTTGATACCTCATTTTATGCCTAATCGAAAAAACGATTTTAGACAGAAGATGTCATTCGACGAAATCTGTTTCAGAACATTTGGAGTCTATCTAGCCATAACCATTGGGTCCAAAATTGGTACATCGTAATACTTTTACCATCCGCTACAAAGTAGTACCATCCCCTACGAAGTAAGGACCCGATATAATTCAAATTTTGTATAAAACTTAAATCAGTTGTGAAATTGGACAAGATTGTTCAATTCCTTCTGATACCTTCCCTACAAAGGAGCAATATGTTTATACCCTTCACCATTCTATGGAGGGTATATTAATTTTGCCATTCCGTTTGTAAATCCTCGAAATACTCATAATAGACCCTACATAGTATATTCTTTCTGGATCGATATTCTCCAAATTTCGTATTTAAAGGTCTTTATGTGTAACACAGCCTATGACAAAAAATTGCGTACACAGGTCCACTTCTTCGAATAGGTCCCAACATAACGGTTGGTGTATTTTGATGATAATGGCGACATTATTCACCGGAAATGTTTCAGGATCACGTCTTCGTATAGCTCCCATATAACAGTTTTATTTAAACGGTATTTATCGACGGAATTTTGAAAATTTTCAAGTTTCTACAAAATGGTGGAGGGTATTAAAAGTTCGGCCCGGCTGAACTTAACTGCTTTGTTACTTGTTAATATTCATAACTTTTATATTATGTGTAATCAGTGTCGGGTTTTCGTCATATATTATACCTATATATAAATCGGTCCGATTTTCTTCAAATTTTGGTCATCAAAAGGTCTATATTAGAGCAAGTGTGACAATTATATGTATCGGTCCACACTTTCTGATAACACTTCCACAAGATTCAAAACTTTCAAAGACAAAAATCATTAACGCCCTTACGAAAAGGCTGAAGTTACCATCTTGAATTTTAGCATGCATGGTCTGTGAGAAAAGTTGGGGTTTTTGAAAATTCAAACTAAAAAGTACTAAAAATTTATTGGTCAAATAGATAGAGCTTGATTTCGGAAAATTCGAGTGAAGGTCGCTGATGGGATGTATCAACGGTCTTTTTTACAAATCATTTTTGGAAATTCGAACTATAAGTGTACTAAATGTACTGAAAAGCAGCACCGTATTATGTCAACGGATAGAACTAAAATATTTATAATTGGTATAAGAATTAAGTTGGGTCCATTGCGTTTAGATGAAGAGGTGAATTTGCATATCCATGCTATTATCTGTTCGAAAAGTATTTAATGCATTAAATTATAAATTCCTTTTTCCACATATAAAGCAGCGTGTATTTGCTAGTCTCATAAAAAACGAATTGGTCCATTCTTGATTTCTGGTAGTAATTATTGGCTTACTGCTTCCAAAAAGAACAAAAGAAAGGTTATGACATGTAAGTCTTTACTACAATCATTTGCCAATTGTCGGACCACCGACTCCTATTTTTCTACTTGTTGAAATAGGTATTAACTAACTTTCCATGATTAGTCTATTGGCTTAGTCATAACATTAACACCCATAGAAACCGGGTTTAAATCGCTTAATTAACAACAACGGTTTCCTTAAAGCAACTGTTTGAACATGCTAATCGCTTTCATTGCTACTAGCGTAGTATCCGTAATAAAAAGTAGAGCCCTAGTTTGAAAGTTTGCATATCACCTACCATAATAGAGTAAATGTTACATGTTTAAAAAAGTCAGTCGGTTTTGCCCAACGATGAATACCCTCAGCCTATGTCAGTTAATTAAAATATAACCAATTTTAACTTTTGTGGAGAGGTACGAGAAGGAGTGAGTATATAAATTGTGGGGAAGTAACAAAAAGAGTTGACCTATATACCCCATCTTAAAACCAGATCTTTTGTGAAATTTAAAGGTGAATCTGACGTTTATTTCGCATTTCATGAGAGATATAATTATTCAAAATGTTGACCCGGTGTGGGGAGACACCAGAAGGAGCTGTCCGACATATCTTGTGTGGATGGAAGTATAGGGATATGCCGACTTTCAAAATAATCGAATGCTCATTTTGCGTTTTATGAGCTTCATGGTTATTCAAAATGTTGACTGCTTTGTAGGGAGCTACCGGAAGGAGTGGAGATCTAGGGTCTAAAACCGTTATATCTATGAGGCACATCATATATACCCTCCGTAGCCGTAGGTTGAGGGTCTAAAAAATTTCATTCCCATGGCGCTATACTTACCACATACATATCTAGTTTCCAGATTTCTTGTTTTTATTTTGTTTTTGTCAAATATATTTGACATTTAAAAGTACTCTCTTTCTTTGCCATTTTTTGTTTTTCTTACGAACCGTTATTTTTGATATTTTTTTAATAACAGACACGTTCGCGATTTAAGAATATTGCAGTTCTATTCTATTAGTTTCGTTTTCGAATTTCTGAGCACATTTTAGTAAATTAGTATGGGATTTGTGAAAGGAGTACATTTCTGATCCAAAAATCAGATTTACTGTAACCGGAAAATATCGACAACAATTTGTGAATATTTCAACAAGCGTAAAAAAGTCCGTATAGCAAAAAAAATAAAAAAAAAAAACATTGTGTGGTGCCTTTCGGAAACATTTTAGGGTTGTCGAATATAATCGACATTGGCCTGCAAAAGTTGTTTAATTTTTACAGTAAATAGACGTTTGTTGGCAAACTGAAGTTTTTTCTCCTCATTTTCCCTAGAAAATGGGATCATTAACAGACGATGATATCATGAATAGACTTGAAGAACATTCGGATATTGATGATGTAATCGAAGATGATGACGAGGTTTTATTTGACGTGCCACAACTGCGAGCACAGGACATTTTGGAGAACATGAAGCAATAGCAGATGAAAATATTGACGAAAATCGCCATGCGTATACGCCAAAATGTAAAATAAATTGGCGCGACGTTCGAAAGCCAGAAGATCATGAAGGCATTCCTGTTGTGCCAGTTTCTGAAAAAAACAAACCCAGTTGGAATTGGGACGCCGTTCTCATATTTCAATAAATATATAACAGATCAGTTCTTTTCGAATGCAGTCTATTACACAAATATTTATTGACCTAGCATGGGACAGTTGTCATTCAAGCCTTGCTCGGTAGACGAATTACGAATTGTTTTTAAGGAATCACATTATGATGAGTGTTCTAAAATTTCCCAGAGTAGCTATGTTTTACGATAAATACTTAGGCATGATTAATATTATTATTAGATAAAGCGAAAAGCAAGAGCAATATATGCCTCTGAATGCCAATGTCAAATATATTCGACATTCGGTCTCGAACCTGGGTGACAGGTAATTTCAAACTTACTTTTTTTTTAAATAATGTGCTATCAAATGAACTTAAGTACGGAATTTCAGATTTTTATCTCGACAAAAAATTTCATTGACACTGAAAGGGTTAAGAAGTAAATATATTCTTGATCAGCATGAAATTTATGTCGAATAAGTTTTGTCAGTCTGTAAAAATTAGTATAGGAATGAAGTAGATTGATGAAAAATGTACTCAAATGTCTGTAGAATTTCTGGTATTTCTGAACCACATATAGCCACGTTTTGATGTAGTCTCCATAAATGATACAATTTAGGTATTTTGAGGTTTTGTTTTAAAGCTGGTAGTTAGAGTTCACTGCCGTCTTTGTTTCAGCCCCTTCATAGGAATTGATTTAAATTTCGCTCGTTAATGTTACCATTAGTCGAAAACCGGTATAGACAACAGTTTTCGCAACAAAAATCATCAAAAGTATTGGAAGACATCCTTCTGATGCTTAGTATTTTGTTGATTTTTTGCCACATGTTTCAATAAAATTGTTTGAAATTTGGAATTAATTTCGGAATTTCGATGTGTTTGGAATTTTTGGAAATTTGATATAGTAAGTTCCTAAAAACAAACATAAAATTTACAAATGGTGGAGAGTGCTTAAAGTTCGGCCCTGTAAGTCTAAATACTTTTTTTAAATTGCTTATATGTTCTATGGACCAGGATGTGGGGAATATCAAGGGCTGGTGACTGTATTCGGTTAGTATATCAAAACCCCAAAATCGTTTTGGATTTTCATGCCAAGCCTTTTCAAGGAACCTTTATATAATCTCAACCATACTCAAAGGGTCCCCAATATTTTGTGTTGTACATTTCAAGATTTAAGATAGAGCTCCACTTACCTAAACGAAATGGTGTTGGTGGTAGGTGAACAATTCCAAGAGAAGGTGGATTTCATTAGGTCTATAGAGGAAAGCCGCAAAAGGGGTTCGGGTTCACAGAACGAACGTTTATATTATGGTTCTCAAAATCTACTAATTGTTTTCTTTATCACATTTTTTCACTACACCTTAATATGGAAAGTATATTAATTTTGTCATTCCGCTTTTGAAACTCCTCGAGTATAGACTCTACAAAAATATATCTTTTTATACCCTCCACCATACTATGGAGGTATATTCATTTTGTCATTCCGTTTGTAACTCAACGAAATAATGATCTTAGACCCAACAAAGTATATATATTCATGATCAGCGTAAAATTCTAAGACGATTTAACAATGTCCGTCTGTCTGTCTGTTGTAATCACGCTATCTTTTGAACGAATTGAGATAGAAGTCTAAAATTTTGCACACATGTTCATTTTGTCAGTAGGCAGGTTAAGTTCGTAAATGGGCCATGTAGGACCACGTTTTCATATAGACCCCATATAACTGTTTCTTATATACCATATAATGGTACCTCCCGATATTCGGCATTTTGAGGATTTTAGCGACATTATTCACCGGAGTTGTTTCAAATTTAGCATTTGAAGTTCGAAATGGTTACTACAGACTAGGAAACAGAAAATTGTCTGTGCAAGTCCACTTCTTCGTATAGCCCCCATATAACGGTACCTACCTATATTCGGTATTTTGAGGATTTTAGCGACATTATTCACCGGAATTGTTTCAAATTTGGTTTTTGAAGTTCGAAATGGATACTACAGCCTAAGGCAGAAATTTGTCTATGCAGGTCCAGGTCTTCGCATAGGCCCCATATATCAGTAACTCCCTATATTCGGTATGTTGACGATTTTAGGTACAATACTCACCGGAATTGTTTGAGATGTCGTATTTGAAGTTCGTCATTGAAGCTACAGCCTGTGACAGAAAATTGTCTATGCAGATCCAGGTCTTCGTATTGCTCCTTTATGTACGGTATTTTGATGATTTTGGCTACATTATTCACCGTATTGTGACAAACAAATGCCTATGTAGGTGCACGTCGTACAGGCCCTAATATAACGACTATATTCGGTATTTTTAAAAAAGTTAACAGATTTTTTTGCGAATGTTATTTTTTTCGAAAATTTTCAAATTCGTTCCAAATGGTGGAGGAATTCAATGTTCGGCCCGGCCGACCTTACTGCTTTTTTACTTGTTTTTAATTTTATTGAATGAAAGCAAACAATGTCGGAAATAGCATCACATTTTAGAATAAGTTTAGATTTGTTCGAATTGGTCACCTTTGGCACGAATGATGGCCTTCAAACGGCCAATAAAACCGTCACACGCTGCCCTAATGTTGCTCTATGGTATTTTGGCCCATTCCCGGCGAAGCACTTGCTTGAGGCGATCGACACTTTGGTATTTTTTAGTGCCAACCTTGCTTTTCGCAATACTCCAGACACAATAGTCGAACGAATTGGTATCCGAACGAATTGGCAATTGTGCGCTGGAAATGAAGCGAGAAACCTCTTGGGTGGTGCTGGTGCTGAGTCCTGTTGGAATGTCCAAGGTCTGCGGCCAAAATGTTTGCGTGCCCAAGGCTTTAATACACCCTCCAGAATTTTTTCGCTATGCTACTCGGCATTTATTCTCATACCACGGTCGATTAATACGAGCGGAGAGCAACCATCGGCTATTATGGCGGCCTACACCTTCACCATGGCCGACGCTTGAGTTCATCAAGCGAAGCAACTCTTTAGACTTTTCTTTCTGTTGCGGTGTAAGTTCTTGCACTTTTTGGTATTTCAATGGCTTTACCCCGAGCTCATTTTTCAATGTTTGCCGAATGGAATATTGCGATATGTTCAGCTCACGAGCCATTTATAGGCTACTGCGACGCGGGTTTCGATCAATTCCCTTTTTTAATTTTTCGAACCATTTCTGCTGATGTTGCTTTTTCCTTCCGTCCACTCCCTTGACATGGGGGTACGCTACCAGTACACGTTAACGAGCGATGTTACGAGACACAAAAGGTTTATTCACATTTAAATGCTGGTTTTCCAGCCAAATATAAGGAAATCACACTATCGCGCTTAAATTCCATCACGAATAACTTTTTTTCTGGAAAATTCTTACCAAAATGCTGTTGTACACTTGTAAGCAATATAATGAGCTCTACTGGAATAATTTGAACAGCTTTCGGACGAGTGGTTTAGAAATGACAGCAGTCTGAAGTTGGTTGCAGTTTTTCCTGTATGTCAATGAAAGAGTAATTTAATTGAATGAGAGATTTAATGATTTATCAACGCCCAGACGAAATGGCTGAAGCTAGAATTTTCAAAATCTGGGTAAGGATCAATCTTGGTCCGAAGGTGTCAGGAAAAGTACTAGAACTGTTGCATTTGGAATGTAGGTCAATGATATAGGGTATTGTGGATGCACCCAAGGGTTTTTGGAAATTTTTCCGAAAAGTACTAAAATGTTCTATATGTGGTATCACGTGAACGGTTAGAGGTAAAAAATTGAAATGTGGAATGGGAGTCAAGGTTGTAGAGTAGGGTAAGGATGTAGTTATGGAAGTGGGTACTCGTGTATACGAAAGGATTAAATTTAGCACAGTTTGAATCTGGCGGATCCGATCCGGTCCCATCCTGAAATGGCGGAGTGTAGCATTGGGATATGGAGGTAGTTTTAGAAATGTTTACTTATGTGCACGAAAAGTACTGAATAGTCTTAAATTTGGTACAATTTTGATTTGGGTGAAACGATACTGAAATGCTGAAATTTAGAAATACAATTGCTATTGCATATTAGGACTGATGTATGTAGGTAGTTTTTCGTACTTGTGTGTATTAAATGGTACTAAATTTGGTACTTGGGAAAGGATCGCCTTTAGTGAGGTTTGGTTGATACATAGCGGGGAATTTGGAAATACGTATTAAAAAGTACTAAGTAGTATTAACTTTGGTATTTTGGGGTAGGAATAGAACTGGAAATTTGAAATTTAAAGGGGGTTTTCGAAATTTTAACAATACTTGTACCAAAAGTACTTCAATGCTTTAAATTTGGTACCATTGCTAGTTTATTTACAAATGGTGTCTTTACGTCATAATGGATGGTATTAAAAATTCGGCTCGGCCAAACTTAAAGTTTTTTTCACTTCTTTTATTGTGGAAAGTAAACAATTTCGTCCGGTCGAAGTAAACATCATTTTCAATTGTTAACATTGCTTGATTTATTACGTTACCTCTATTTTCAGATTCTGGGTTCCGTATTGACGTGGTTTGGATCATGGCTCTACAAAAGTATTGACGATGAAAAATTCGATCATGGCGAAAAATTAGCATCCATTGTTATAATGACCTTGGGCGGAGTGTTAATTTTCACAGCAATCTATGGAACATTGGCGACCGTGTTTGAGCTGTCCAATATGTTGATCAGCGTAAGTTGTACTATTTTTAGAAACTTTAAAATATATATCCTGAATTGTATTTAAATTTCAGTTTGCAGTTCTTCTAATCGCACTGCTAGTAATGCAAATCGTATTGGTCAGCATTAGCTATACGGCATTGAATAATGGCGTTTCGAAAAGGCTGGAGAAGGGCTTCGATGAACTATGGGATCCGTTGCATTTGAAACCCAGCGAAAATTTGTCATTCTATGAAGAATGGGTAAGTGGAGAAAAAAAAAAAAAGAGGCTTAATGTTTAAGTTTCTCTTTGACGTTTCAGCTGCAATGCTGCGGCAAGAACAGTCCAGAAGACTATTACCTGCTTGACAAATATCCGCCCACAAGCTGTTGTAAAGATCACAACTGCATTAAGATCCATAATTTGTACAAGGATGGCTGTGCTGACAAATATCGTGATTATGTCAAATCGAAAGTGGAGAATTTCGATATTCTTAGTTGGGTAATCATTGCAACCGAGGTTAGTGAAAATAATGCTTCTCTTCCCACAAAACCGTTTTCTAGTTTTCCCCTACATTTACAGTTTATTGGTTCCATTTTCTCCTGCCTTCTGATCGATAGCATACGAAATTACCGAGATTTGCGGCGATTTTATAGTTGAAGCGAAACACCAACATTTTTATTTTAAGTATTTATTTCCAAATATTTCCATTATTCGAACTTTACAAATGTAATTTACTGCTTAAGTACGAAATTAGTTTACTCTAGTCATATTATTTATTACTATTATTACATTATATAATATTTTAATAGAGTAGATAAGTTATTAACGGAAGTAATTTTTACTGAATTGGAAGACATGATTCTGCTCAGGCTCTTAGAAAGAAGTTCTAATTACTTATTGGTTTAATTGGATCACAGAGACTTAGAGCTTAAAATATGTCGTAGGGCCGGATAAATATGTGATGACCCACACTACTACATTGTTTACAAAAAAATTAGATTTTTTTTTTCAATTTTTTAAATTAAATAATTACGGAAAAAGGTCTACCAACAAGATCAAAATCGAATTTCATGTAAGAATTATATAATTAAAGAAATGAATATTTTATTAATTATGTGCGAAAATGTGTATGAATGTATTAAATCATTGAATATTCGATTTTAAAATTTTAAAGATCCCAGTACATGCGAAATAATAAAATTCAATTTTTTTATAAATGTTAAACCAAAAATGAATTAATTGATTGGAGACTACAAATTTTAAAATTAAACAATAACACTGTACCCTGCGGAGCCGACTATGTGATAGCCTACATAAATATAAACCGCGATAAAGTTTCTGTTTGTTAAAAACCCTTTTCGAATAGAATAGATGGATATCTCAAAATATTGAGATAACAAAATTCCCATTTTTACGAAAGTTATACGATTCTTCAATTTTTAGGGAGTAATGAGTATGTCGTTATGTATGGACGAGCACAACTTGCGCATCTCGGTATCACAGTTTTTACAGAAAATTGCATATCTCACAAACTCTAAGAGATGTTGGGAAACATTTCACGACAAAAGCTTTCACAATCGGAGCAAAACTTAACCCATTTTTTGAAATTTTGATTCGGACATATTTTCGACAATGGTAATAGATTTCGATAAGTTTAAACGACACAAATCGACTCGCAGAGTCGATATCGCAAATGAGCACAAGCCGTGTACAATTGAGGGCAATTTAATTTTTTTTCGAAGTTCCTGAATTGTCAGGAATGTCACAAAATCCAATCGGAATGGTTTGAATTCTGAAATTAAAAATCGATCATTTTTGTTTTAGCTCCTTTAGATTCCCATCGGTTTGGTGAAATGGAATTGCGAAAAGAATTTTAATTTTGTAATTTTTTACACAATGCCGGGAGTTTCGATCAGAATACTGAAGCAAGTATAAAAGCAGAAACTTCGGCACTTTGAATAACCTCCACCATTTGGAACGAATTTGGAAATTAAAAAATAAATAAATAAATAAAATCCTTTAAAAATTCTGTTAAGATCTAAAATACACCGATATATGGTGCCTATACGAACTTAATATACCCTCACCATACATAGTGGAAATACCCTAGAGGAATTTCAGAGATCCCTTCTTGGATCCCTTGTCCTACCCCAGTGGACAGTACAAGTTCCCATAAAAATACAATTCCACTTGCAAAATCATATTACAAACCGAAAAAAAATCATGTTCTGAAGAAGCTAAATACAGAATTAATGCCATTTTCGGTCGGAGTTCGTTCCCGATACATGCCTGTGTAATTCAGGTTTTATCAAATCAAAATTGTTTCTTTTTTCAAATATTTGTGCAATTTCTTTGAATTTAAAAACAATGGCGCGCAATTGAGCACAAACCTAATACTATTCATCACACTTATTTGATCGAAATGATCACTTCAACGGACAGCACATTACCTTTACCGAATATTTAGATATGACAATTAACAAATATCAATTACTTTATATATTCAAACCATTAAAAATCTAATGGGGCTGTCAGTCATTCTAAATTAATCCGTTAAATAACATGTAAAAAGAAGTAAAATTCGGCCCAGCCGAATAACATCCAACATGTGGAAAATAACACTTTTGAAAACTTGTCTATAAGTGATGATATACAAATTAATCTGAGCAGATGTGAGGCATCGGCGTTGATTTGGCCTGCAATTTTGTTTCGAAAGTCTGTGTCTTACTCTTTCTAAGTAAAGTCGAAATAAATTTACCAGAGACTATGGTTGATGACCTATCCAACTAAACATTCCGAGTTCGAATAGACTTCAAGTCGAGATTTGCATGAAACTTCGGATTTCGGCTGGTTGTTTGGTCCGACTTTTGTTCGAACATTTTATCTAGTGTTTAAAATGTTCTTGAACCAAAGGGTCGAATGAGAGACTGAAGATTTTGACGTCGTCGAACCGAAGTGGAGCCAAACTCGATAATCTTGGGAAATTGGCGAAAGGAAAGTTAGAGTTGTCAGACAGATTCTGGACCGAACACGAATATAATATTGGGTGGATTTCTGATTTTTTGCCGACTTTCAAACAGTTTTCGATTCGAATTAGGAAGAAAGGGCTTAGAAATTCTGATGGAAAAGGAAAAAGGAACAACAGTAGACTAATCATGCAACATCCAAAAGAAAAGGTCTAATATTAATCTAAAAATTCGATTAGCTTACCTTTGGCAACGTGTCCACAGGAAATATTACTAAAATCTAGTACCAATAACATGCAACTCACTTCCGAAGAAAACAAATTCTACTTGACCGCTTGATAACAATCACACATTTTTTTTCCACAATGCGTAATAAAAACAAGTTAAAAAGGAGTAAGTTCGACCTGGCCGAACAATGAATACCTACCACCATTCGGAACGAATTTGGGATTTAAAAAAATATAATAATAATAAAATAAAATAAATAAATAATAAATAGATTTGTTAAAAATTTTTTAAAAATCTTAAAAATACTGAATATACGGAGTTGCTGGGGATATAGGAGATATACAAAGACCTTGACCTGCATAGACAATTTTCTTTAATAGACTGAAGTTTCTATTAGGAACTTCAAATCCGAAATTTGAAACAGTTCCAGTGAATAATTTATCAAAAATCATCAACATACTGATTGGGAGGTACCGATATTAGGGGCCTATATGAAGACCTGGATCTGAATAAACAATTTTTTGCCATAGACTGTAGTAACTACTAGGAATTTCAAATACGAATTTTCAAACAATTCCGGTGAATAATGTATCTAAAACGATCAAAATACCGAATATAGGATGGTATCGATATATTCGGGGCCATACAAAGACCTGCATGGACGATTTTCTGTCATAGATTGAGTAAAATTTGAGTAAAATTCTATCATCCATTTACATTTGAGTAAAATTCTATCATCCTACTTCAATTTGGTCGGAAGCTAGAGTGATTTCCAAAGACGGATGGTCATCGTTACATCGACATAGCTGATGCTGATCAAGAATATATCTTCTTTGTGGGGTCGGAAATTTATATTTTGAGGTGTTACAAACGGAATGAACAAAATATTAAGTCCACACTATTGTGGAGGATATTAAAATAACATCTCAAAGAGAGAAAAGCTCTTGTTAACCATAAAGCATACCACACAAGCTAAACAGAAAAAACTCTACAAAAAGACAAAAAATCCTCAGATAAATAGCACCAAATTCTAAAATTTTTCGGAAAAACGCGTCGGACAAAACTTCAGAAGTGGTTCGCAGGGTTGAGAATGATATTGAATTTTGCAGGCGCCGCCAACTTTTTGATGAAAGATATGGGCTGCTGGTCCTTTATGGGTTACAACCCAACTCTTGGACACGAAACAGACAACCATAGTCAATTTTTAGTCTAAAATGACTATGGTAAAAGCATTCGGAAAACTAGGTAACTAGTCTTCCTTTTTTTCCTCGCAAAATTCTTCATCTTTTCTTTGTTTTTTTTTTTTTTTTTTTTTAATTTTAGATCTTTTAGAGTAGACACAATTGAAGTGATTGTCAACCGTAATAAGCGTCAACGCAGCATATCAGTTGAAACATTGCACAATGGTTCCACATCCAGATTTCCTGTCCAAAACTATTTCAACGTTTTTTCATCATAAAAATTGGCCATCACCATATCCATGAAACCAATAGAGACATCGACCAAATCCCAAATTTATTAACATACTTTTTGGTAGAGTTATAGTAGGCATGTCCAAAAACACCTCCTGTTATTCACCCAACCCACCAAAAAGGACCTCGATACCAAATTTTAGAATTCCATCTTTATCCCAACGCCTAACCGCACATTTTGTGGCATTTTGCACTTTTCGTACATTCATAGTACGAATTTTCAAAATCACCTTTTTCTCTTAACTACAGACACAAACATTAACTTCATATCAAATTTCAGGGTTAAAGATCTATACCTTCACCCAATAAAACAAATTGGTAGCATTGGTTGGTAGCAAGTTCTTTTCGTACAGTTAAAGTACGCATTTTCAAAACAATCTGCATATCCTAACCTCAGATACCAACAGCCACCATAAGGATTTAAGCACTGTAATTTCCCCCATTGCCAAATTTAGTAGCAATAAGTACACCTAAATCTTTTTTTACACGGTAGATTGGTTCCAGAAGAAGCCGTGTAAAAAAAACGTGTAAAAAAAGACATTGATCTTATACAAAAATGGGTGATTTGTTCCTAATCTCTTAAACCTATTAAAATTAGTGAAAAACAAGAATTTTTAAGAACAAGAGTTCATGTTTACTTTATTAAATCAAATATATAATGCTTATTTTCACAAGCATAGTAATTAATGATAAAAAGATATGCACTCTAATCTTTAAATTAATATAAATTAAATGTATGGCAAGTTCAGGAACTAAAAAACTATGTTGTGAACGAAAAGAATAGGCTATTCAATTTTTAAGGTAAAAAATAAAGTAAAATAGAATAACTACCGATGGTTTCAGACTTTTTTCTTTCATAAATACTTTTTTGTGATATGAACATACTTCACAAAAATTAAATTTGGCAAAAAAAAATTAAGTACATAAAATTTAAAATCGTGCTAAATGGAATAAAATCGTGTAAAAAATTAAAAACATTCAATTTTCAAACCGTGTTATATCAAAACCGTGTACAAAAAGAACGTGTAATAACGTTGTTGTAGGTATTGATAGAATTTCGAAAAACGCTTTAGTTTGCCTATTCTACCCACCAAGACTCTCAAACCAAAATTTAAATTTCTAGCACTATCCCTTTATCCAATACCAAATTTAGTACTTTTCGTACATCTTTGTACTCATTTCCAAATCCACCACTAGTTACAAACAGAGATCTAAATATCAAATTTCGGAATTCCAGCCATATCCCTTCACTTAATACCAATGTTAATGTTATTTAGTTAACCAAACCGCACAAAAGGTGCAAATTTTAGAATTCCAATTTAACCCCTTAACCAACCTTAGTAACATTTAGTACCATATTTGTTGTACACATTTTGAAAAGCATCTTTTTATCACAAAACTACCACCGACAGGATCCCAATACAAAATTCAAAATTCCAGCTTAAGCCGTTCAACCTAAACTGTTCTAAATTTAGTGCCGTTAAGAAGAGTTCGCAGACTTAGTACACATTTTCAAAACCTTCACTTAATACCAATGTTAATGTTATTTAGTTAACCAAACCGCACAAAAGGTGCAAATTTTAGAATTCCAATTTATCCCCTTAACCAACCTTAGT